GAAAGGACAATAAAGATGAGTATTCAAGCAGACAGAAGATGGCGATTGACATTGCATTTAGATCATTGAAGAGTATATGTGACAGGCAAGCAAAAAAACATGAAGAGAGTCCCATAGGTCAGAGGCACGAGTGAAAAACTCTCAGAATATAACTTGCAGTTACATCTATTTGAAAATTAAAATATAGCCAGTTCTAGTAGTACGCTGAATCTAGGTGTAAACGGAAAAATATAAAAACAATAACAATGTAATAAATGTGTTCTTGTGCAGGATGTATAAACTTTAACGAATGAATAACCATAATACTAAAAGAAATAGCTCTACGTAGATGAGATATATATATATATTTGACTACTCTTTGATGACAACAAAGAAAAGAAACCTCCAATGATGAGACGGAAGGAATCGGAATATTAAGATGTGAGAATAGGTCAGTATCGCTAATGTTTAGCAAAATAAAGAAACGAAACTAAATCAAACTGTAATATTAATTCTGATACCATGATATTATTTTAGAACAGATAACGTTACTGAAATGGAATATAAGACAACAGTGTAATACAGGAAGACCTTAGCCAAGCTTAATATAACGCGCCATTTTGGATTCTAATTAATAGAGGTTGTAACATAATTAGACTTAACATAAACCAAGATCAGTGTGGCTTAGTACAAGAAATTAGAAGTTAAATCTTATGTTCTGAATGCTATCAGAGTGAGATAGACAAGTACAGATAATACTAATTCTTCATAGTTTACGGCATTGTAAGATGCAAGACAACTCCTTCTAATGTTTTTTTTCTGGGTTTGCTTTCAGCCAAGGTTGTCAAGTAAAGCAAGAAAAACGAATTAGACATTAACTGTAAGAAGACAGAATGAAAAGAACGTGGAATACAAAGATTTATTTCCACACAAAAGATGTTCGAATTATCTGAAACCTCTACTAGGATGAGAAATATTTCCGGTAGATATAGAATGAGTTTAATGGACATACAAAATGCGGTTTACTATGTGTTTTCCAGCAGGATTTATCTCGTTCATCGAGACAAGTCTAAGAGGACAAAAAATCTAGCAGAAATTATTAATAACGAAGACGTGATGCAGATCCGCCATTACAATATAAGCTACAAAGATTATCCTGTTTTGATAATTCTTTCGAGATTTTTTTTTCTGGGTCTGCCATCAGACAAGTTTGTCAAGGAAAGCAAGAAGAAAGTGGTATGCATTAACAGTAAGAAGACACAATGTATAATTTGTTGGCAACAGATTCAATCTAAGTTGCGAGCTATGAAGGAAATGCGTGCCAAAGTTTTAAATATTTGGGTAATACAATAACAGACAATGGAGCTTTTAATTTTATGACGCAAAAAATAGATATTTTGTTCAGAAAAATAATTAAGATAATAAGAAATTAAAATATATCCTTAGATACAAAATTAAGGGCGCTGATCAGTTATTTTAAATCTTATATCTGTCTATATTTCTGAGATGAAGTGTTACATTATTCGGACTATTGTCCTCATCTTTGTTGCCATATTTATCACAACGTTTCTGTCGCTGTACGCTCCGGCCTTCTTCAGGTGGTTGGAATGTCGACTGAACCCTTTATTACGCTCGCTGTGGTAGACTGTTCTAGTTTCACGTGGCATGTCTATTGGATGTCAGTTATCAGTTATTCCCTCTCCAAGTTCTCCACTGCCTTAACCGGGTATTGAACTCACACTCTTTGGGTCCTGTCACTGGATCTAACTAACGCCTTCATCCACTGTGCAATGTGTCCTTCGGGACATCTGTGTATGTATTTCTGGGTATTATAAACCTAATGTCTTCAGCAACTATTTTTACCAGTGCTCATATTGCAATCATATATTAGTGAATTTTACAGAGAGAACCTCACAGACGGAGAAGGAACTTGATAGAGCCGCGATATTGATGTACCTGGGGTTGTTGAGAATACCATGGACAGGCCTTGCATTCTGTGAGGTCACTGCTTCAGTTCTTTAGAGCCCAACGCTACATCATAGCGTGCATCAATTTTTTTCTTATCACGATTTACTTTATGAGGGACAGTAGTGGGAGATCTCTTTCCAGAAGGGAAATGAGATAGAGAGAGAGGGAGCAGATCCGGCAAATATATATCAACTCATTCAGTAGAACTTTGCCACGTGTGGACTAGACTTATTAAGAAATCTCGGTGCGTGCTGGCTCTTCAAATACTTGTGATCGTTACCTGTATTCTCGCTGTTTTGGTCTTGTATCTAAAACGGCAACATAGGCGATACATCACTGTCAGATAACCACGAACAGATGTCTTCGGATCATGGGATTGCCGTTCTGGGTCAGCCTACGCATTATGAAGCACAGATGATCTGAAAATGTTAGGGAATAAGAACCACAAATACAGCTGCTAAGAATAAGAAAAAAACCCTGTTATTTTCATTACAAAAGAAAAGAAGACCAAGAGAATTTAACACACCCATGACACTCTAAGAGAATCGGGAGAAAAATTCAAGAAACTATCTTGACGAGGAATATCGTCTAGAAAGAAAAATAGTGATGATAAATAAGCAAGTGTTAGCCCAATAAAAGATATACAGGTGTGGAGAGACATGATCGCCAAAATCTTAAAAAAATATATGATGTAAAAGAATTAGAAAAATAATAATGACTATTTGAACTGATATTTTATTCCAACCGCAAAAACTTTAAAGTCAGACTATTAGGGTCATTCTACATTCTCTTGACGAAACTAGTTCTTATGTCGTCATCGTCCAACACCATCTCATTTTGAGCCACACTTTTCTGTCTATGAAAGGTTGAAATCTATTTAATGGCTTCAATTTCAGCTCGTTTAGAAAACCACAAGATATGGTCTATCCAACGGAAGCACCGTCTTAAATGATGGTTGACACGGGCAAATTCTCTGAACTACTCCTGACCTTTTCATTTGAGATACAATCATTCAATTTGATGCTCAGGAATATACGTAGGCATCTAAGGACAAAGGAACCCAATTAATCTCCTGGGTGGTCTAAAAAGCCAGATCAATAAGTCATTAGGCTAACACAGTTTTTAGGAGAATTTTCTCACAAATTATCACCGCATGAAGTTCGATGCATATGATTAATGAGGAAGCGTCCTCTTGGGTGCATTGACAACTGTATTTTGTTAAAGAATATATGTGTTGCCTAGAAAAAATTATTTTTCTTGAGTAGACTACAGAATTGTTGATATATATATATATATATATATATATATATATATATATATATATCATTTTTTAAATATGATTCCTTCGCTACATAAGAGTTCTTATGTTTCAAAAATGAGAGCCGAAACCATCAATATAATTATTAAAAATTAAATTGAATTAAAGTAACAAGCCCTGTTTCATCCTCAAGCGAAAATTTAGGAATAACCAATTTTGAAATTTACGTACCGTTATAAGGTTGTTCATTCGTTACTATGGAAACAGCTGGGGCCACCATTTTTATCCACATATCAGTCACCTTCATGGAGAGGTCAAGCTGAGGTAGGGTGGGGTGTCTATTTTAAAGCGAATTATGTCTTTCTGCTTGAGGATGAAACAGGCCTGTTACTTTAATTCAATTTAATTTTTAATAATTATATTGATAGTTTCGGCTCTCGTTTTTGAAACATGAGAACTCTTATGTAGCGAAGAAATCATATTTTTAAAAAAGTAATTAAAATCTAAGATCTACTTCTGTATGGAGCACTTTTTAAAAAAATAAAAACAAAAATACTAAAGAACCCTGGATTATTTATCTAACATGTTCTTTCCTATTTTTCTACATACCTGAATACACACACACACACACACACACATATATATATATATATATATATATATATATATATATATATATATATTGGGTTGGTGCATAGTTGTCAGGCGTTTTTTAAATAATATTCATTATGAAAAAGAAACATAATAATTCAACAATAACATTTTTTAATGGTTATTCTAGAGCGTACGATTATCGTCACGCATTTTTATAACATGAAAATAAAATAATATTTTTATTAAAAAAGTAAAGTAAATAAAGCAATTTTAATTAACAAATAAGTTACCTACAAAATCGCCTGATAATTATGCACCAACCCAAAATATGTTTGTGTGTGTGTGTGTGCGTTCGTGTGTGTCTGTGTCTGTTTGTATGCGTGTGTGCGTAAAAGCACTTAGATATAAATAAAATATATTTCTAAAGATAATATACTTAAAAGAAAAAAAAGGAACTTTATCAAGGAAAATGTGTACATTTTATTTTGTAACTATTATTTAGACAATAAAGTTACAAAATAAAATTAGTCTCTTTTTAATCAATTCACCTTGAGAAAGACAATGCTGACGCTAAAACGTAAAGGGATATTGTGAGAGAATGAAAGATAATGGAAAAATCTTTAGAAGGAACCGGAACACCAATCCTAAACAGGGAAACAAGGGTTAAATCTCAACGCTTGCTTAAATTTAAATAAAATAAGCAAATCCTAAGGGAATCTGCTACAAAGACACACCGGAAAATCTTAAGTGAACAGTCAGTGACCTGTGTAATTTCTAAAACGATAGGATAAATGAAAAATGAAAAATGAAAGAGACTTTCTTTTTCGGGAATTTCTTGCCGCATGTTTTATATTACTGAAGAGATCTTATAGTTTCGAGCAGTTGTTTGCCACTATGAGATTTGTGGTGGATTTATAGAATATTTTCTTGGAAAACCGCATTCTTTAAGTATGAATATATTTACTGTTTAATCCTAGAATGCGTGAACTTATTTTAAAAATGAATACACACATACATATATATATATGCTTTTAAGGTGTGCTATATTTGTGGGATAAAGTTCACACTATCAGAGATAGTGTATGTAAATATAAAATTGAAATTTGAAACTGAAGTCAACATTCAGAGGCGACAGGCCGCCTGACGATTGCCTATTGCTTGAAACAGCCTGTCGCCTCGGAGTGTTGGATTTAATGTTTACTTTTATAGATAGATAGATAGATAGATAGATAGATAGATGGATGTGAAGCTCAGCGAAATAAATTTATAACCTGCCCTGATATATTTTTAAGGATTCTGTATTCATTATATATATATATATATATATATATATATATATATATAAGTGAACCTTAGTCAACACTTAGAAGCGACAAACTGTTTCATGCTAGACGCCTGAACTGAACCCTTTATTTCGTTCACTGGGGTTGACTGTTCTATTTGCACGTGCCATGTCTAATGGATGTCAGTTATCAGATATCTCCTGCTTAATTCCCTCTCCAAGTTCTCCATCGCCTTAACCGGGTATTGAACTCACACTCTTTGGGTTCTGTCACTGGATCTAACTAACGCCTTTATCCACTGTCCCATGTGTGTATGAATTTCTGGGTATTATATACCTAATGTCTTCAGTACATTTTTTTACCAGTGCTCATATTGCAATTTTTGATGTTATCATTGAAGTTGTAATAAATATGGCGACAAATATGAGGACAATTGTCCGAATAATGTAAATTGTGTAGATAATACCTTATCTCAGAATTATAGACAGATACTGGAGTATTGAACAAAAATTAATAATAAATGTATGTTAACATCCATGTTACAGCTATATCCATCCAGGAAACGCAATAGAAAGGAATGACAATTTTCATGTAGAACATAGTGATGCTTCTTACAGGCCAATATCATCATGGTTGCATATAACCTTCTCGTCTGGGATATTTCGTTCTATTAATGAAACAATCATCACATATATAACTAAATAATATTTATAAGTATTTATCAATCAGCAATAATACCATTATAGTAATGTTTATTTTCTGTAAAATATTTCCAGTTGCCTGGTTGCAGTATTCCGTCGAGTATTCATTCTGAGTCTTCCTTACTTCTGGAATTTCAGCTGCAGTCTTCTGAGTGTCCCTGGTATGTCTCATTTCAGTTTCTTCTGCATTCCGTTAATTATTAAATGTACGTCTTCTGTCATCTTGCTGCTGCAGCCGTTGAGTATTTAATTTAGGTCTTTATTTTTTAGCATCCAATCCACGTCTTCTGTCAGCTTCTTCTTGAGTTTCAGGCTGTCTTGCTGACGCAGTCCGCTTAGATACCCTTTTACTTGACTCTGTGACGCTCGTAATGTTGCATGCCTTTCTGAGTCTTCCCTCTTTCTCTTGCGTAGCTGTTCTTCAGTTTCTTTTGCTCTTTCTCTTTTCCTCTGCTGGGATTGTTTAGGTGGTCGAAAACGGAACTTTTGAGTAGGCATTGTAGTAGGTGTTTAGTCTAATTATTATTTGCAATAGTCAGCTGGCAGAACAGAGCTGTTTAGGTTTTGGTCATTATAGCATAAACGACTTTATCAAGAATTCAAACAACTTTTAAAGTCGCATATTAAATGAAATTGTAGTTATTGCATAGGTTGAGCAATAATACAAAAATATACCATTATATTAATGTTTATATTCAGTATAATATTTCCAGTTGCCTGGTTGCTGTATTCCGTCGAGTATTCATTCTGAGTCTCCTCTCTCTTATTTCTGGAGTTTCTGATTGTCTGGCAGCTGCAGTCCGCTGAGTATCCATGCTACGTCGAATTTTAATTTCTTCTTGACTTTCAGATTGTCTAGTTTCTGCAGTCCATTGAGCATTTAATGTACATTTTCTGTGAGCGTTCTCTTGATTTTCCGACTGTTGCAATCTTTGCAAATTTGGGAATAGGTATCATTTCGTGTCATTAATCTAAGTTTAAACTTCTTGATCATCAATGTAAGTCTTTTGTCAGCTTCTTCTTGATTTTCAATTTTAATTTTTAACTTGTTACTTTCCAGTTTCTCTCTGTTTGTCTACGTATCTCTCTATCAATATCGCTCTCATCTTCATCGCCAAGGGCTTAGTGGTAGAATCCCCGACTGACGCCAATTCAGTCGGGTTTCGATTCTAGTTAGAAGCAACCGGGTGTCTAGCCACACTGATGAGCAAAACAGTCTGTCTGTGGATGACAATATATATATATATATGTGTGTGTGTGTGTGTGTGTGTGTACACTAGCAGAAATATCCGTCGTGTTGACTGCGTTTGGAAGTAACTGCCAAAATTGTACTATGTTTTTGAAAGATATTCATTAGAGAGTATTGAACATATAATATAATAATAAATGGCTGTTAACCTTCATGTAGGTGATACAGGTGATATAGCTATATCTATCCAGGTAACTCAATAGAAAAGATTGACAGTTTTCATGTAGAACAAAGAGGTGCTTCCTCCAGGCCAATATCATCATGGTTGCGGATAACCTTCTGGTCTGTGATCTCAATATTTTGGTCTATAAATGAAACAATCATCACATATATAACTGAATAAACGATTCAGGAAAACTATAAACATATGCATATTACAATATTTATTTAAGTATTACAACAAACATGAATAATACAATAATAGACCATTGCTTAGGTGGATCAAAACGAAAAGTGCAGCTTAATTAATATTTGCAATAGTGGGCTGGCAGAAAAGACATATGACAGATATAGTGCTGTTAGGTTTGGTCATTATAGCATAAAAGACATCATCCAGAATTCAATAAATTGTAAATTTGCATATTAATGAAATATTATTTACTGTATATGTTCACGTGATACCCCTTTAGTCCAAAACAGACAAAATCTATGGAAAAAACAACACTAGAGTCCATATTAATTGGATTATTATATAAAAGGGCACCTCGGGGTGGTGTAATGGTTAACAAGCTTGTCTCGCTAGATCAATTTACGACAGAGGAGTGAGTTCGATCCTGACTGGTTTTCCCATACGTTCGGCATTGTGCCACATCTAAGCTACGCTTGGAAAATCACTATTATATAAGAATGAAAAAAGTAGCTATTGTGTAGGCTATATGAAACTAATGTTGCTGTCCCAAATCAAATATCTGGATGTAAAAATGGAATGAATATAAAAAAGGTACCATTTAAATCCATGGGAACAATTTTTTTGAGTCGGGGATTTATATATATATATAATCTATGTCATTAAACGTCATACATAAAATCTTTTTCAAATTTCATAAGAATCTTACCAGTGGTTGCGTTGTTTAGATTTTTAGGGAGCTAAGCCTCCCACTCCACCCCTTCGGACTATATATAAGTGCTTTTGGAGTTGGCTTCAAAATATATCCAGATGACTAAAACATACAGCCTCATGGTTAAAAAATCCCGTGATAATAGATATTCAAATACTTAAGTTATGGGCTTCTCAAAGTTTTAATATCGGAGTGGGGAGTATTAGGGTGTCTTGAAATTAGCTGATATTTTGGGAATAGGCATCATTTCAGGTCATTCATCTAAGTTTAAATTTCATATAAATCGAAGGGGAAAAATTGTGTGGGGGTTGTTCCCCCCACCCCGGGGACCTCCTTTGATCAAAATAATATATACTTATACGTAACATATTACATCCAATCTCATGCCGGAAATCTGTGTTCCAAATTTGATAAAAATCTGTCTAGTAATTTTTCAATTCATGGGGCGGGGGGGTATCTGTCCTCTTTGTTCCCCTCAAAAATAAATTAAACATAATTCATTACTCTCCCTTTTATGTATTCTATGTTCCAAATTTAATGAAGATCGTCGAAGTAGTTTTTCTTCCTGTAGATGTACAGACAGACACACAGATGTTTATCTTTATTAATATAGGTAATTAATGGCTCTGTTATATTGCATTGAGTAGTATTTTATTAACACCAGCACTCAATGTGCGATATCATTTTTAAATTCGTTATCACCCCAAGTAAGGCAGTATAGCAACTAGCACGCAAGGGTTTACAGTTTGAAGAGGAGTAAGGAACAGAAACATTAATAATGAAGAGAAAGAAAAGAGCAATCAAGAGGACTGTAGATAGCTATTGACATTGCATTTAAATTATTGCAGATTAAAATTTGTTGGAAATCATAGAGCCAGGAGGGAGTTCCACAAGTGATAAGTGCGGGATAAGAAACTGTTAGTATAGAAGCTACAGCTACATTTACTTAGCTCCACAGTAAATTGATGAGATCTCAGCGCCAGTCTAGTATTGCGCTTAAATTCATAGTCTAGGTACCATAGAATAGAACTCATCCGAACAATTACAATGAAAGTATTTATAGAAATGCATAGAGAGACAACCTTACGGTGGGAAATTGACGGAAGCCAAGCTTCGAGATAAGGATATTGCTGATTCTTCTTTGGATTTTATCAGGGAACTCCAGGAAAATATCTGGGGCACCAAACCATATATGGCAGCAATAATCTTATAATGGACGAATAGTAAACTTATAGATAGGCAAGATAGATTCCGGAGAGAGAAATTGTCTTGCTCGACACAGTGAAGCGACTTTCTTAGCAACTGATCTGGCGATTGATTCAGTGTATGCTTTCCGCCTCATGTCAGCTAAGAATGGTACCTCGAGAACGAGTAATCAGTCACTTTCTTGGGAGGCATAGAGGGGTCTCTCAGATGATTAATTTAGAGCACTTTCGTTTTAGAGGGGTTAAAATTAACAAGCCACCATTTTCTCCAGTTAACGAGGTCGATTTATACATCGGTTGCCATTTTGACTTTGTTTAACTGATTAAATTTACTGTCAAGGCAGGTTTAAATAGTAATGTCGTCAACGTAGATGCCTAGTTGAGAGCTGATGTCAACGGGAATATCGTTGATGAAGGACTAAGGATGGAGCCCTAGGGGACATCCGCGTTAGTACCAATGAATGTAGAAGAGAGGCCGTTAAGGACAACTTTCATTTCACGATTTAATAGGAAGTGCTGGATCAGCTCAAAAACGCGCCCGGAGATACCGTAGCTTTTCAGCTAGTGGAGAGGAACTGAATGCCAGGCCCTGTCAAAGGCTTTTTTGATGTCCACTTTTACAGGCCGGCCTTCAGTGTTTTAATCAAAAGCACGATAGTCTATTTCTGCAATTACCGTTAATACAATAGCAGTTGTTCTGTACAGACGAAAAGCCTATTGCTTATCTGAGAAAAGGTCTTGCGATAAGAGATGAAGAAACAATTCAACATTGATTAGACCCTCTAGGAGATTCCAAAACAGAAGCTGAAGTCTAATAGACCGATAGCTGGATGGGATCAGTAGAGTTTTTTTGGGTTTTTTTTTTTTTTTTTTTTTAACGGGAACAACAGAAGATGACTTCCAGCAAACAGGAAAAGCAGGAGACATCCGGGTAGTTATTATACAGTTTAGAGAGAGTAGGAGTTAGTCAGAAACTATGGCATGTGTTATATGCATAGCACTCAACGTTGAATCGGTTCAAAGTTAGAAGATAAGTAGGAATGCTCCAGATGAGTCAAGAATAAAGTTTGAAGAGAAATTACGCGCAAAGCATTTAGCTCTATCAGCAGAGGATGATAGCACCTCAAATCGATTGCAGGCGCGAAGGGGAATAGATACCATTCACTTATTTAATTCCTTATTACAGGTAAGTTTTTGGAGACCATGCGGTGCCTCATTCTCTCAGCAAACAAGTATGTAGCTTTTTTGAGGACTCGCTTACCTTTGTTACAAATAGGCAGCTGATATGACGAGTGCTGTCACGCTGGTATAGACGGAAATAGTGGTTCATGTGTGCTATCGTGGTCAATCATGCTGCGGCGAACTATGGAGTGGTTAGTGGTTTCACCTGGTATTTCCGAGAAGGGATTCAAGCGTCCATACTGGCTTTGACCCAAGAAGATGTCACTCTAACGGGGTCACGAAAAAAAATCCAATGTATCCCAATAAGCGTGCTGGTACCGGGACAGTATTGTGAAACTTAGCAAGAGCGGGGAGAGGAGGTAAGAAATAGACCCAAAAGAGATACATGTTGCTTGATTTGGCTAAGGAAACGGATAGGAATGTCCACAATTTGGGTGAGAAATTTGGCAATGGAAAAGTTTCATGTCTGTATACTGTCTTGTGTTGGTGATAAATGTGGGAAGGTCCTGATTTTAGGGTTATATATTAAATCTATCTATGTTGTTAAATTTGTGATTAAGCCCGACTGGTTGGAGCTTTTTTAGGCGCCGAATCCACTTATTTTCATTTCCTTCTAAAATCTTTCTAATGGTACTGCTCCTCACTTTTCTATCTCTCAATTATGGTGAATTTGGCATAGGTTTTAAAATCGTGTTTTTCCAGGAGGAAATGTTGTTCTACAGGTAATAATCTTTCATAGGGAGTCGACTTAATTCGATTGCGATAATTACTATTTCTGTAGTGAAAGGGCCATTCAGATTTTCC